TTCATCCAGGGCTACCCTGGTCAAGAGTGCAAATGGCAGAAAATGACATTTGCGTCTGGGCAAAAGCGTTATAATGTTCATAGCTGTGGCTCCTCAGGGTCTCTCGTCATCAGGCAGGTGTGGAGGGTTTGTGTTGGCACAGGGTGAAGGCCCTCAGGGCCTCCCCAGTCTACCCGGGAGATCTCGGATAGGTCATCTAGGTGGATCTCAGTCCAAAACTTAAGGTCTCTGTCATAACACAGAGTCCCATTTCACATTTGGAAAGTCAGAGCTTGCACTCGGAGACTCGACCTGACATTTTTGCAGTTTTCAATAGAAAATGACTTGGTTTTTCAAGGAGCAAGGGGGATCTTGACCATTAGGGAATATCTTTTATAATATTTAAAAATTATTTTAGAATTCAAGTTTTATTTTTTTCTCTCTTTTGCTCTCTCTCTTCATTTAAAAAAAATGATACAGGTGATAAACGAAATGGAAGGACAATGTAAATAAGAAAACACCAGGTTTTCAAAGGATCTGGGTCCCACCTCCCACCTGCCTGGGGGCCTGAATCCAGTTACTTAAATGACCAGTTTTCTCACCAACAGAAGTGAGAACACAATTTCTGCTCAAGGTGGATAAAAATAAGTCTTTCATCAAAGTTTAATTACTTTATACTACTTATGGGACTTATATCTGCACTCTTGAAAAGCCCCATGGGGTGTGTTCATGGCTCCTTAAAAGAAGGGACAATGGAGATGCCCACTGAACTAAGAGTGACTTGACTTCATCCATCCATTCTGGGTCAGCTATCCAGTTTTAGAAAGGAAGGGTATTAGATCCTGAAAGGATTTGTCCTCGGTGATCTTGTAGAGCAAAGTGTGCTCCCGGACACCACACTAAATGATGCAAAGATCCCCTAAGTGCTCCTCCACCAGGGGCTTATATCAGTCAGGTTATATTTGAGTCCCTTGGGGCAACTTTTTTCAATGACACGAGCTAGACTGCTCTCCTCCACAGAGATTCTGGTCCCCAGATTCTGGGGGTGAAGTATAAGCATATGTAATTTGATGAACAGAAATTTTCAGTTGATTCTGATACTTTCACAGCACGCTGGGAAACACTTCCCTAAAGGTAAATTGAAAGGTCTTTTTATTTGACCTCACCTTTGATTCACAATGTGCTAGAGATAGCCTGTTTGGAAAATGTCACCTGATGAATTGAGTTTGAGGAGAGGAGAGCCACATTCCCGTGTGCTGCCTTGGGGCGCCCTGCAGAAGCCTCATCTTGGCCAGCCCCCTGCCAACAAGACTTTCCCTTCTCTGCTGAAACAAGTCCACCCTTCAAAGACTAGCTCATAACATGGCCTACCTTTTTGATTGCCTCTCCCTAAAGAGCTTTCCTTCTCTGCTTAATTCATTCATTGTCTGGATGATTTGTTTGACTATTCAATTAGCAATTGATGGTCTAGCTTCTATTTCTGCTGAATGCAGTTTGTCGTATATTGCTATTTAATGTTTCACTGATTTCTGTCGAGTATAAATAGTGCTGATTTGAATTTTAGTTCTGGCTTTATTTCTAACTGTGTATCCTAGGCAAGTTGTTTAGCCTTTCTGGCTTTCAGAGCCCCAATTATACAATTCCACAATTCTCTTTCTTACCTCACCCTCAAGCTAAGGTTCTTACACAATGATGTTCACTTAATTGTATTTACATTTTTTGAGAGAATAATTGTAGTAGACATTTTCTAACATGGTTCCCAGGGACTCTGCATTCTGATAGTCATGCCCTTATATAATCCCTGCCCATGAGTGTGGACAGCACCCAGTGAATATGGCAAAATGATGAGATGAGTTAGAAGAGACTGTGACTTCTGTTTTGCTAGCGTTCTCTCTCAGGCTCTTCTCACATGCTTGTTCAGACGGAGAGGGTCACCTGGAAGGATGAAGGGAGGCCTCTGGTCAAGAGCCAGCAAGTGACTGAGACAGCCTGTGAGAAACCAGGTCTTACCAAGAACCATTGAGTTGTCTTGAAAGTGGATCCTGCCTCAGTTGAACCTTGACATGACTGCAGCCCCAGTCAATGCCTTGTGATTGCAGCCTTGTGAGAGACCCGAGGCTAGCTAAGTCATGCCTGACCCACAGAAATGGTGATATAATAAATACATGTTGTTCTAAGCTACTAAACTTTGGGGTAATTTATTATGTAGCAATATGTAATTAATACTATCTATGAGATGGGTTGATGGACATGATAGTCTATCTACCTGATTTGGTCCTATTGAGCTAAATTGTGCTACAGTAGCAAATGACCCCAAAAGTGGCTTATATCCAGAAGAGTTTATTCCTCCTTCTCACTATATGTCCACTGAAGGCGGTCATAGCTGTGCTCAATATTTCCTTCCCTCCAGAACCGTCTATAACCCAGGCTGATAACAGCCACCTCTATCTGGAATATTGCCAATCACCAGGGAAGAGGAAAGAGAGCAGGGCAAAGTATGCACTGGCTTTTAAACCTTCCCCATGAAAACAACGCACTATACTTTTGCTTGTATTTCACTGGCCAAAGTGAGTCACATAGTTGATGAACATGGCCCAAAGTATATTCTTCTTCCAGTGAGCAGCACTAAATATCTGTGAACAGTAACACAGTGCACCATATGCTATCGTGCAGTGGGTTAGGGGGAGTGGTAGCCACAGACTGCCGTAATATACAGAAAAGAGAAGGAATAGTTCACATGCACAGCTGAATGGGTGTGGTGGCCCCAGAGCCTAAGATAAGAGAGTACAATTGAATAGCTATTTTTCCCTAGAAAAGGGTGAAAATGAAGGGAATATGAAGCACTGCGGAGAGTTGAAGTGTTTTGTTTTGGTTTTTTAGCATCCTCAAAATCTCCATGGTTACCTCCCTAAGGTCGTTCTAAAACAGTGACTCTATGGCAATAAAGCTTTAAGACAAGCATCCTGGCCCTCCTCTTCAGACTAGATAGCCTTCCCTGAGCTCTTGAGGCTTCTGTATATAAATATATCCGCCTCCCTCGTCTATAATCCTGTTCATAAAGTTGAACCGGGTCTCCAAACAACTGTCTTCCAGCAGCCAGTTGAATAGGAGAGGAAAACTTGACACATGACCTTGGGCAAGCCTGCCATGTGTGGGTTTCAGTTTTCTCAAAGTCCAGTCTAATCTCACCTTCCTGAGAAATAAGCACAGTCCCTGTGGACTTCCTGCAAACGTTGGAGGAGCTTAAGGAACGGTTGCTAGCCCATCCATCTCAGAGGCCTTGCCAGGCTGGCTTTAGAGAGGCCGTTTGATGGGAAGTGCAGAGATCTGGCTTGCAGAGCAGGAGGAGCTGGGCCTGACTTAGCTGGTAAGCCAAGCCACCGCGATGGATCTGCCGTTAAAACCAGAACCAGCTTAAATTGCTGACACGTGGTAGAGAAATGTCAGGGCCAGAGATCCCCTAAAAAAGTAAAGGAGAGACTTGTTGAGGACCCTTCTGCCTATAAAAAATACGTTTGCCCTTAGGCTCTGCCTGTGTGGATCATGCCAGATGGTATTCTGTTTCTCCTGAGGTTAGAGTTTGTGTCAAAAGAAATAGACTTCACTTTGATGAGTTCTGAAGGAGGCATGAAAGAGTCCCAGAATCGAGGTTTAAAAAGTGACCTTAGCCCTAACCGGTTTGGCTCAGTGGATAGAGCGTCAGCCTGCGGACTCAAGGGTCTCAGGTTCGATTTTGGTCAAGGGCATGTACCTTGGTTGCGGGCACTTACCCAGTGGGGAGTGTGCAGGAGGCAGCTGATCGATGTTTCTCTCTCATCGATGTTTCTAACTTTCTATCCCTCTCCCTTCCTCTCTGTAAAAAATCAATAAAATATATTTTTTTAAAAAGTGACCTTAGATGCCATCTAAGGCAAACTGTCCAGCACAGGAGTCACTCCCTCACGCCTACGGCCTGGAGATTGGTGCTCAGGACAGGTTTGAACTTCCTGAGGTTTTTTAGGATGCAATCCTGTCCCAGTTTGCTTTCCACATTGCACCATAGGCAGTGTGAGGGAAAAGCAGTGAAGTGAAAGTGTGTGATAGCAGTGTGGAGACAATACCCTTCTTCCTGGTGACACAAGCTTTGCATTTGGGAAAAAGATTTCCATTTTGCAACTGTAATGCTCTTGGTTGTTGGAGGAAATGTTGAGAGAGGCCGTAGTCTGTAGTCTATTTCTGAAACCGGCTGCCTGTGAAACAATCCCACCCCTCTCTGGCATGTTTTACTGCTGGCTGGTGGTGAATTATGGAATAGAGGAAGGCAATGGGGTGTGGGGTAGGGCAGGGCCGGGGGAAGGCAAGAAGAAGGCCAGAGCAGCTTTCCAGGATTGAGGCGGTAGTAATAGGGATGGAAAAGAATGGATGAACTGAGGATCGGTTTGAGAGAAAGGATGTGGTGAAAGAAGCCAGGTGGGCAGGCAGGTGGGATAAGCCTCTAGGTCTTAGTGGGAAAACATCACCTCTCCTACAGGAACTTTCATTTGTATTCAGGCTGTAAGTACCCCAATCTTTTAAAATACAATATCTTCACAAGTCACGGAGGACCTGGCTTACTACTGACTTCTGATGCTGGAGATATTTCCATAATCAGGAAGTTGCTCTTTTTTTCACACCTTTACTTTATTATCTTCATTGGATATCAGAACTGGGTAGTGAGCTGGAGGGCTCCTGAGGATGGTTGGGTTTGCCCTAAGGAAAAGCTTAAATACTGCACTCAGCCGCTTACCTGGGCAGCCTCAAATTCCAGGGGAAAGGTAGGGAGCCTTAGAGAGGTAGTGCCAAGGGTCAGGGCTTCTACATACCTTACCTTTCATTCCAACCTCCAGATAATTTTGTGAGGCGCATCTTTTAAATTCCAGTTTTACAAAACAAAAAAGTGAGGCCCAGAGAGGTTCTTTACTTTGCCCAAAGCCACACAGCTTGCAAGTGGTGGAGCCAGTAGTAGAACCAGAGTCTGGGTCCCTGCACTCTCCATACCATCCCTCCGTCTTGGTCAGTCTGTTTTCCCTCTTTTCTCGTTACTACCATACAGATTCCATCGTGGAGCCCATCCTGGGGAAGGCTACAATTTCTTTCTTTTAGGTACTGTGTTTGCCTCTCCTATCCCACAGCGTGCCTAGTAAGGTGCTCAGTGAACCTGCCTACCTAGAGGCAATACCCCTTCTTGCTGCCACATATGGATCTGGGGCGAGTCAAGGCAGGTCTGGTGAGGGAGGCTGCGTTGCTGCCGCCCCTGCTAGGCGATGGGGAGGGACTCTTCTGCCTGTGCCTTGTCTCAAAGGCATTTTTCATGTCCTGTCCCCCTCGTGCTCCCCAGCCCCCACCTCTCGCCCCTTGACTTCGTTTCAGTTCCCTCTGGAGCGTCCCTTACTGCGGGGGTGACAGCATCTGGGGGCGCAGGGTCCCTGGTGTCCGCTCTCTTGCCCATCTGTGCGCAGAGCCTCGTTCCGGGGCGCCTGGAGCCCGGCGGGCATTGACGTCAAGCGGCAGCGGATTGCTGCCTACAGACGGTTGACCTGGACCCTCCTCCACACCCCCTTCCTTCCTTGCCCCCTCCCTCTTCCCCGCACCCGGGCTCTGGCTCGGTATAAAAGACAGGAGCGCGGGGCGCCCCAGCAGCGCCGAGGTTCAGCACCATGGAGAGCACCCGCTTCCAGCTGCTGCCCCTCCTGGGTGCTGCCCTGCTGTTGCTGTTACCTCTGCTGGGCGCCCGTGCCCAGGAGGATGCTGAGCTCCAGCCCCGAGCCCTGGACATCTTCACCGTGGAGGATGCCTCCCATGAGAAGGAGCTGGTCGGTATCCCCATGCCCCAGACTCCCCTGGGCTGCCGCGCGGTCCCTCCTTTGTACCTCCTCTCTTCCCTCCTCCCCACCCCATTCCCAGAGTCAGGACGCGGGGAGATGAGTGAGAAGTCCGGGCTCCCGCTGTCATCCTCCCAGCAGTCTTGTCCCCGCTCCTCTGAGCAACACAGGAGCAACACGAGCCTCCCCTCGAGGGCCCTGGGACCTGCTGTCAGTACCTGGGACAGCGCCCCCTAAGTTTCCATCCCTCTAGCAACCTTTTTTTGTCTTCGGTGTCCCAGGGTGGAGTGTGTGTGGTTCTGGGGATCCTTAAAAATAGGGCTGGAAGTGAGCACCTGGGCTGGGCTCGCAGCCAAGGCGGCAACTTTGGGCTCTCGGGGGCGGTATGTTGCAGATCGAAGCGCTGCAGGAAGTCCTGAAGAAGCTCAAGAGTAAACGTATTCCGCTCTATGAGAAGAAGTACGGGCAAGTCCCCATGGTAAGGCTTTGGAATCACCTCCTTCCCATGTTTTTCCAAGAGGAAATATACCACCTTGAGTCTTATACACGCACGCCTTCTCCCTAGGATGTGGCTAAATAATTCAGGAAAGGGGTTTGCTGAATTCTACGAGGTCCCTTTGTTTTCACCGCCAGCCCTTGCCCTTGGTCTCTAAGGGCAGACAAACCCTTTCGGAAGAGAGAACAGTATGTGCCAGGAACCAGCTCTTGTGTCTGGGTGGAAAGGAGTGTTTCCTGAAGATGAGCTTTTTTCACCTCACGAAGAATTGGTTCCTGTTCCTTCAGTTTTCTTCCTGCCTTCCGAACCCCTGTCAGTTTTGTTTTTTTAAAAAATCTAAGTTCTAGGATAAAAATTCTTAACCAGGGCTTGTCACCTTCCATGGAGAACAAACACACATGCACACATACTTAAATCTTCCTTGGGATGAGGAGGGCAGAAAGCAGGGAGCAGGGGTTGTGAGAAAACATAGGTCTATTGTTTATTTCTTAGAAAAAAGGTCTGGTTGATTTTTTTTATCTTCTGGATGAGCAACTAAAGGACCCAGGAAATGTAATCCAACTCTCCCTCCACCCTTCCCCCTCCTATCCATTCTCCCCCGCAAAGTGGAAGAATGTAGGAGGGGCTCAATAATTTAAATTTATTTTTATGTTCTCTCACTGAAATCATAAGCACAAAGCTCTCTTCCGTTTTAGGCCTGACTATACTTAGGCCTCCCGTGAGGGTGATAGGGTCCACCCGTCTCTCCCATGAGGCAGAAACTGTGTTGACAGGGAGAGTGGCCTTTGAGGGCTTGGTTTTGCGCATGTCCCACGACCACACATTGTGTTGCTTGCAGTGTGACGCTGGCGAGCAGTGCGCGGTGCGAAAAGGAGCGAGGATCGGGAAGCTGTGCGACTGTCCCCGAGGAACCTCCTGCAATTCCTTCCTCCTGAAGTGCTTATGAGGCGTCACCCTCCTCCATCAGTCCCCAGTTCCCCTGCTTCCCCAGAGGACCGCGCCTTCATTTGTGGAGTTGGGATTTAGCAACAAAGTTTGCATTTCCCGGAGGCCAAGGGGCTCTTTTCCTGATGTTTTCAAATAAAAGAACAATGTCGTGTATGCTTGTATGGTGTTGATGTGTGTGCAAAAATATTCTCTTTTTATTTTATTTGTCTGATGAACTTTGTGTATCTTTGTGTAAAGTAGGGGAACTTTGCTTTGAAAATTGTATTTTCCTATGTGGCATGGCAGGATGAAAATTAGATTTGGTGAATGTTGGTAGATGACAACACCACCTGGAAAATAAATCATCCCAAGCACCCCCAATTGAAGCATGCACAAATTATACATAATGAAGTGTTTTTAATAATTGTTCATACTGCCCTGGCTGGTATGGCTCAGTTGGTTGAGTACACCCAGAGAGGGAACCCTCTCTTTGGTAGGATTCCCTGTCAGGGCACAAGCCCGCATTGGGGCTTGATCCTGGTAGGGGGCATGCAGGAGGCATCCAATCAATGTTTTTTTTCCTCTCGCTCTCTTCCTATCCTTTCTTCTCTTTCTCTAAAATCAATAAAAACAAGTAAAAAAAGTTGCTCATAGTGCATTGTTGTTTCTACATAAGTAAGTTAAATATGAATGATGGGATTAATCAAGCAAAGGCTCATACACCTCCCCAAAGGGAGGTAGAGAGCAAGGGCCCTGAGATGGTCTGTGGGAGTGACACCTCTCAAAACACATCATGATCATCAGAGGAGTGATTTTTTTTTTTACATATGGAATAAGAAAGAGAACTGTTTGTTTTTACTTTGCACTTAGTAAAGACTAGGAGAAAGAGGGAAAAAGTATGTGCCCATGTGCTGTGTTGGAGAAGGGCTAAAAGAGAAGACGATTGGAAAAAGAATTCAGGGAAGAACATAAGCGTCTAATTCGCATTTATCCAGTTATTTGCTCTATGGTGGTGTATAGTGGAAACCTCTTTTCCTGCTCTCCAGTTAATTCTTCAGTAAATTCTTTGTTACTGAAACTTACAATTGATGTAACTTTATTGAAAAAAAAAGCTTATCAATATTTCTTTTCTTTACCTAGTGTCTAGGTTGATAAGATAGGTGTATCCATTCATTTATTTATTTATTTACTACTCAGTAAACATTGTGAGCACCTACTCCGTGTCAGGCACTGTGCTAGGCTTCAGGACTATAGCAGAAAAGGAATCAGTCAAGACTGCCACCCTCAAGGAGCTTATCATCTTATGTAACAAGAAGGCTGTTTAAGTGGGACCCATACAGGAAGGCCTCGGGAGGGAGAAAGATTCCTACTGTGACATTGGATCCCTCTCTCCTGGGTATTTGTCCAGATCATCTCTTCTTTCACCTGTTCCCACATGGCACTCTTCACTCTCATTTTTCCAGGTTGCTGGTGGTCCCCCTTTGTGTATCTTGGCTCCTGACATTTGTTTCCAATCCTTTGCCTCTGATAATCCAGCCACACTTCAGCATTGATCTAGCCCAGTTCTCAGTTTTACCCCCTGGCCCCCAATCTCTGGTTGCTGTAAGAGACATGCCATCTCCTCCCTGCCAGCTTTCCAGCAGGTCCCTGGGACTAGGCTTAATTCTCACTTGGCTGTTCTATAGAGAATCTGATAGTGTTCATCATTTGCCAGAGTGACTTGCATTTAGTTTTAATCCATGAACTCTTCTGCAAGAAAACTCAGTCTGTTTGGATGAGAAGGGCTGAAACTGTATGTAGATTCTGGAAGGCTGCCCAGCTGGTGTGGCTCAGTGGTTGAGCATCAACCTATGAACCTAGGAGATCATGGTTTGATTCACAGTCAGGGCATATGCCTGGGTTGCAGGCTTGATCACCAGTAGGGGCGTGCAGGAGGCAGCCGATCAATGATTCTCTCTCATCATTGATATTTCTATCTCTCTCTCCCTCTCCCTTCCTCTCTGAAATTATATATATATATATATGATTCTGTAAGGCCAAGCTACACACACACACACACACACACACACACACACACACACGCACACGTGCCCACGCGCGCACGTTCTGGCTCTGTGTCCACCATTCCTGTTCCCTCAGAGCACTTCCCCCATCACCAAGGACAACTACCCACAGGGGCTGTCTGCTCTCTGGATGATTGAAACCATTAATAATTTACCAAATGCCAGCAACTGCCTTTCATTAATTATCACTATGTTAATGATATCCCTCAGGCAAAGAGAAAAATAATTCCCTCCTATGCAATGGAGACAGGCCATATTTCATAAATAAATTAGGGGTGGGCGTTTTGCCTTGAATTCCTTTGAACTCTTCCTTTGCAGAGCTAGAGAAGGTGGAAGTGGGCGTAATGGGATAAAACAGAGCAGGTAAAGATACTCTTTGAATGTCAGTGTCACTGTGTTGTCAGTGTGGCTGTCATTCAGCCTGTCTGCTCTCTCACCTGGGAGACAGGATCACCTCTACTGGGATGGCTTCTCAGTACAGGTGGAGTCTTTCTTAACGTGTGGCATTGAGAACTTGACACAGCCCTCTAAAACAAGACAGTCGTATAAAGCCACTGATGCCATGTTCAGATCATGATTCTTGCTACCTAAGAAGGCAGTCCCTGCCTCCATTTAACTGGACCTTCTTGACCCCAAGAGGACTAACTGAGTTAAAATACATGAATAATACCTGAACACAGTAAGTATTCAATAAAGGAAAGCCCACATCACTTTCCAAGCTCTGTGTTTGTGCCTGGCTTCTTTAGGATTTGTTTCAGACACGGTGGGACAAAGCAGCAGAGTTTTACTATTGCATCTGAGCGATTGTCAGGTCATTCCTGCCCTCTTAGCAAGAAGAAGCAGATGGGTGCCTGGAAGTAGTCTCTCAAATAGGGTGTCTGTGTCAAAACATGCAGGGCAGCTCGAGGCCGAATATGCCAAAAGTTTTCCTAGGCTTTTGGATCCAGTGTGTACTTATAGGATCCTGAACCTGCCCTGGAAATTTAGCAATTTTTCTTGGGTGGGGAGAAGGGACTATACATTCATCTAACACATCTACACTAATAAAAGAGAAACATGCAAATTAACCATCACTCCGCCACTCCGCTACACCCACAAGCTATGCCCACCAGCCAATCAGGAGTGAGTATGCAAATTAACCCAACTATGCAATGGGAGCCACAGAGCTGGAGCGAGCAGGAGGCTTGGGTTGCCCCCAGTGATGGAGGAAGCCAAGCTTCCTGCCTGCCCTGGCCAGACCTGGGCTCCGCTCAAGGCTACAAAGTTTCAATTATAGAAGATAAATCCCAGATACCTGCTTCCAGCCCAAAAGGAGAAGCTGGGAGCTTGGGTTGCTGGGGTGTGTGGCCAGTCTGAAAAAAGCTATCAGCCCCTCACCAAGGCTGGCCAGGCACCCCAGTAGGGACCCCCACCCTGAAGGCGGTGTGGCTAGCCTGAAAACAGCCATCAGCCCCTCACCCAGGCTGGCCAGGCAACCCAGCGGGACCCCCACCATGATCCGGGACACCCTTCAGGGCAAACCAGCTGGCCCCCACCCGTGCACCAGGCCTCTATCCTATGTAATAAAAGGGTAATATGCAAACTGACCCTAACAGCAGAACGACTGGGAATGACTGGTCACTATGACATACACTGACGACCAGGGGGCAGACACTCAATGCAGGAGCTGCCCCCTGGTGGTCAGTGCACTCCCACAGGGGGAGCTCTGCTCAGCCACAAGCCAGGCTGACGGCTGCCAGCACAGCGGTGGTGGCGGGAGCCTCTCCCACCTCCTCCTAGCAGCGCTAAGGATGTCCGACTGCATCTTAGGCCTGCTCCCCGCTGGCAAGTAGACATCCCTCAAGGGGTCCCAGACTGCGAGAGGGCACAGGCTGGGCTGAGGAACCCCCCCCCCCCCCGAGTGCACAAATTTTTGTGCACCGGGCCTCTAATATTTGAATAATAAGCACTGTCCTAGGTACTTAAATTTCTTTTAGTTTTTAATTTCTAAGTTTATTGTTTTTTATAAATCATGATGAGTAAAACAGAAAATAAGAAGTCTTGTTTATTATCCAAGACTGGTGTGTGTGGGGGTGCTTTCCTTCCTGCATCTTCCCCAGGAGGCTACTGCTGGTGTTCCTGTGAATGTTCCAGCAGGAGCTGTCTCCTTTGGAATCCCCACTCTTCATACAGCGACTTAGGCTGGAGCCTATGTTCCTGGGGGAGTGGATGGGGGGAGGGGGAGGAAGGGCTGCCTCCTCTTCTCTGCCCTAGGAAGACGTTGAGTAGGTAACTTTAAGCCAATACTGGGAACCATAGGGGAAAGAAAGATTCCCTCTTTTAGGGGTGTGTTTTTCCACAGGTTTATCTTTCCTTATCTTTTCTCACGGAGGGTAAGAGAGGGTATAGGTCTAGAGACAATGGAACAAGGAACCCACTCAAATCCTTTTGACTCAGGCGGCTTAGGCTCATCAAGATCAGTCAAAGTAAGACCCTCTGAAATAGAGTCTACCCATTCAGGTTTTTTTTTTTTTTTTTCCAGAGAAGCTTGGGGGCAAAGCTCTATCTGGTAATACTGTTTTGACTTTATCTTCTATGTTCACTTCTCTTATAGGGACCAAGTTGGATTCTCTTAGGCCTTACCAGGTAGGTGCTGGAGAGTTTAGGGGTCTCACTAACTTTTTTTTTTTTTCTTTCTTTCTTTCTTTCTTCGACACACTGGTGTATTCTGCAAACTGAGCTGGGTGTGTCCTCAGGGGAAAAGTCCTATACAAAGGGCTCTCCCAGTGACACTTCAAAACTCACCTGCAGCCCTGACTAGTTTGGCTCAGTGGATAGAGCGTCGGCCTGTGGACTCAAGGGTCCCAGGTTCGATTCTGGTCAAGGGCATGTACCTTGGTTGCGGGCACATCCCCAGTCGGGGGTGTGCAGGAGGCAGTTGATCGATGTTTCTCTCTCATCGATGTTTCTAACTCTCTATCCCTCTCCCTTCCTCTCTGTAAAAAAATCAATAAAATATATTTAAAAAACAAACAAACAAACAAAAACTCACCTGTAGCTGATGATGTTGGGCAGTGCCCACCATGGAGCTTGCTGTGTTTGAGTTTGGAGAGGAAAGGAAGTCTTTTGGCTGAGGGCAGGTTTCTTAGTGATCTCATAGTGTTAATGCAGTCTCCTTTCCTTGTGGCTGAAGTCTCAGGCAGAGATCCCAGTTCTTGCACTAGGAG